GGGCGTAAGAGGAATATGACAAAAATGAAAAGAGAGTATGACATGGTAGCACTCACCCACCTCCAGTAGCTTGGATTTCAGTCCATTTAAGATTAATTTTCCGCGGCGGTTATTCGACGTCCGGGCTAAGAGATAAGTGTTATTTGTACATGTACATTTCCCAGAGCGACGAGTCCGCATGGATTGAAGAGTCGAATTCACAGAAGCACATCATAGGGAAAAGACGAAACATTCGGCGTTTTGTGCTAGTAAAGAAACTATCCTCAAGTGCGATGCATTGGTGTAGCATCACATGACATTTGAAGGCAGTTCCCCGAACTAAATCGCTCTCACTTCATGTCTTTTGTTCTCCTCTTGAGTGCAACGCAATATGTCCATCCCACTGCTCTGTGTGCTGATGAGTGATCACGCGTTCACAATTGCCCGCTCTTTGACTTCCAATTGTAGATTGTCGGCTGGGGGCGTTGCTGTCGTCACCATGCTGTCAGTTTGAACGCGGGGTTGTCGTATGAGAGTGAGACCCAAATTTTATTGTAATGTATATACACCTACGTTTGAAATGCATTCAGCGATTACATACATTAACTTCTTTGTTTTAAAGGGAAAAAAGTATTTACTTCGGAGGGAAGAATCAATGTTGTAATAGTTTAGAAGGGAAACCACGCATGCCTCTCACCCAATTATGATTGACAGTGTCCATAGCCAGGGGGGGTCGGGCCCATAGCCAGGGGGGGTCGGGGGGTTCGAAAGAACCGCCCTTTTTGCTGGGAAAAGGTCCACTCTGGGTAAAATTTGATCTAGGTACATGGAGTACGAATTCGAATCATAAAAATCTAATTATATTTTTATCAAACATTTACCTTTATTTTAAGAATATTTCTAGAAAAAGATTTAAGTTAAATCCCTGTCCTAACAAGCCCGATAGGCTTGTTGTTTTTAATTCCGGCATGTTGATTGTATCCATCACTTCGATTCCACTGACCCTCTTTGTTTACATTCAAGGTATGCTTCACATGCTTATATTCTACTTACCAATACTGAAAAAGGACGAGATAAAAGGCTCATGGGCGCAGAAAAATATATTATGGATGAATTATAATAATGCACTTACTTTTTAAGCGCGTCATTATAATCCATCCATAATATAAAAATGCGTGGGTCTTTTGGTGTAGTGTTCTTCGTTTGTTTTTTTTTAACCTGCTTATACCCTTTATCTTTGTCACTATCCATGTCTGTGAAATGTTTGTGTTTTTTGTTAGTATTTCTGTACACACTTTTTCTCTATGTTGTTTACTGTACACTGTAAAGGTATTGGTGTCTGTGTGTTTAAGTTCAAAGCCCACTAAAGACATGCAGCAAGAAAACAAAGCGTGGACATCGTAGGATATGGTGGCCAGGTCATGGATAGACGGCAGAGAGTTACAGGTGGTGCCCCACCCCCCCCCCCCCCCTGAAAATGGAGGTAAGGCCTATAATCTGAGAATATAAATATTATTATTAAATATTACATATTAAATATTAAGTAGGGAAAGACAGTTGATAAAACATGTACCCTTCATTACTTTCCAATTTAAATTGTGTGATGAGCGGGGTAGCCCCTATAAGTAAATTTCCTACCTAAAGGTAAAGCTATCTAGTGATGCCAATAAACAGAAAAGAACGGGGAATTGGGAAAACATTTATATACAAATTGAGAAACTGGAGGTCCGACCATTCCCTACTCCTACCCCATAACCCTTAATAGATAAAAAATATAAAAACAAATATTTTAGCTGATGTGCATATATTTTCTTTAAAAAGATAAATTCCTTAAACTGATAGTCAGAGAGGAATTGCATCAGTCGTGTTATGTTATGCAAATAAAGTAATATTTCTTTAATCTACAGCTTATATTGATAGCTAATATTACCTCCATGTTCCTGAGGAAGATATTCTGAGAGACATCGAAGTATTGGAGGTAATATTAGCTGTTGATTGAAGGAAAATATCTTTATTCTAAATTGATAGGTCTTAAAACCGTAATGTCATGAATGTCAACAAGTTTTAAGCTAAGTGAATGTTAGGTCTTATTATCTCAGGCAACTTTTAGAGTTATGGTTATGTTTAAACAAATTTTAATGTCAAGTTTTACGAATGTAAATCTATTTAATATGACATGACCCTACAAAAGTGACATAACATTTGGAATCGGTTGGATTAAAACTGTTTGGGCTTTTTTTTTTTCGAGTTGTTAATAGACAGTTTTTACTTGGGACCAAGAAATATCCTGAAATATGTAAATATTCGATAATTCAAGTAAGATTTATTTTCAATTAGTCATTCACCAGGCAAGAAAAAGTATTTAACCATAGTTACCGATATCATTGTTGGTGTTGTTGTTGTCACAGTGCCCATTGCCACAAAGAAACATCTGTTTCGGTTAGTTTTAGCTACAAGGCAAACTACCAGCATTCTAAGCTGGTATGTGCTGGTTATCGTATTGAGCATGGCAGACATTTGTAGCACAGTAGCAGAGTTGCGTTTGTTTGTTTGTTTTTGGTTAAATCCATGTATTAGATTCCCTCTGTTTTGCCCGAATTTTATATATATTTATCATATTTTGTATATTATAGAAATAAATATATCTAAATACAGGGGCCGATCCAGATTTTTTGAAGGGGAAGGCCCGTTTTTTAAGGATTGACAGGCCCCGGATTGCGAGGGGCACGCTCTAGGGCCCCGAAAAGAATTGGTGTTTTGGAGGACAAGTGGCGCCATTTGGTCCGGTTTAGAACTGTGATTCAGCTAGACCTAATTTGGTGCGTTTTTTTTTTAATCAGAAGTCGGAGGTGGGGGGGGGGGTCATAACCCCCCTGACACACCCCTAAATCCGCCACTGTAATATCTTATCTTGTCGGTTTTCTTACGGAGAGTGACGAAGACTGGGCTTGACACATTTACAAAATAAAAAGAACTGAAAACATAATACTTACATGTATCTATGATGTATGTGTATTCTTTTAAAATTATCATTTTGCGTTAATTTTTAGTCTCGTCAAATATCCCGAATAAACAAAATCTTGTTTTAGGGATATCAACACTGATCTGAATCAACCCCTTTAGCTGACAGATTAATTATATATATATAACTGACAAACTGATTAAGATTATGTTGAAGTGGAATTACGGTTAAATATTCCGAAAAGAAATCTAAATCCAATGAGCATCCCCCTTCTCCCCTCAGGCAACAGGTGATTTTGAGGTGATTCAAAGAAATGGATTTTTTCACAATCCTCTGCTTTTTACCCGAGACCAGCTGGGTGATGACGTTAATGCCGTGTAAAAATTATCGCTGAACACAGAGAAGAATTTAATAATAATAATAACAAGAGGCTTTTCACCTGGATAGCCTCGTTTCCTGATGAAGATGCTCTGTTAAACATCGAAATATTAAGCTGTTGATTGAAGAAAAATTAATTTATCGCTGGACACAGTACAAAATGTGCAGAAAATTAGCCAGAGAAATATCTTGTTTCAAAAAGGATGATATTCTGGATCTTTCATCCGAGCTGAAACATTTGTCTCTGTACTTTTCTTATTTCGTCATTGCGTTAAAATGAGCAATGGATCATTGCCAAATTAAGGGTTCCTTCAGTAAATGAAAAATAACTCTTAAATGAAGAAGACATGTTGATTTTTATTACAATCAGCATTGAACATTTTCAACATTTATTTATTTTATCTATGTATTTATTTATGTTTTTTTCAGGGCACACGTAGAAAGATGTATGGTATGCAAATGACAATTTTTTATCCAGCGGATTTATCAGCTGGATAAAAATTGTCTTTTGCATACCCTACCAGTTTATAAGCTGGATAACAGATAATGATTATGAATGGGATTTTGCACGCACAGGTACAATTAATTTTACTCAAGCAACTTATTTTATATTGTTCAAAATACATATCTGCATTTATCGAAAAAATCTTATCAATTTAGGATTTCAAAAGCTATTTTTTAATTACTTTTGGGCAATTCCGAGTCCCATAAGAAAAAGTTTACTTATCTCACCTCCTTGTTGGTTTTATTGTTACACATGTAATACATTTTTTTTTTAGATTTTTACATAATTTAATGCTATGTACGAAATACTACAATGATAATGTTTTGCACATTTTTTATAATAAATACAAGACTTTAAACAACTATATTTACAAAACAGCTTATTTATTTTAAATTTCAGAGCAATTATTCATTTTCAAAAGTAACAAGGATCCTTGCAAAGGCGTAACTTTGGCCGTGTATCATCTTTCTTTTCTGACCACACCAGCATCTAGCCGATTAAACCTAATGAAAAATATAACATGAATCAAATAAAGCATTGCATCATAGACATAAAGCAACAATTGAGCTTAGATTGAAGTTAGTTTGGCGTTAGGAATAAGATAATTTCTTAATTTATATTTATTATAAACATATGACAGAAACAGCAACGGGCGCAGGAGAAGTGGGGAAATATTTTTTGAGTAAAAACATACAAAATACACCCGGTGTCTCTAATAACCTTTATACGATTATGGATTTTTCTCTATCCTAACCAAAAATATTGGACTCGCAAAATTAAAAGGCTATTTCCTTTGAAAAGATCAATCAACAGCGGATGGCAATTTTGTATCCACATACTGTGAAACCTACCACAGTTATCTTCGTCCGAATTATCCTTGCAATCGCTGTCTCCATCACAGCGCCAGCCTATGGGAATACACTGGGCCTCATCTCGGCATAAAAACTCTTTGGAGCGACAGGATGGAGCTGGGTGAAGATTTTTTTAAAATTTCACTCAAGAAGTAGCAGAATATTCTTTTAATTTTTTATGACAGGTAAAATAATTTCCACTGTTCTTCTTTGTTCAGTTATTTTTGGTTCGTTCACCATGTTTATTTTATGTTTCATGTGAACAGCAAGTTAGAGCTAGTAAAGAATAAAGCGCAAGCTTATATTATTAAATGAATATCTGGTAACATATTTCATATATTTCTCGTAAATGGTTTTTACTCTAGTTGTATATATAATGCAGCTCAGCTAAACGTCACAGTAAAGGCTCCGTCAAACCTAGCATGGACAAAATTACGCACAACTTTGAGGGTATTAAATCACCCTGTTTCTGCGTATTATAATGAAGATACAAGCAGCGTATGAGATTGTTTTTGAACATGCCCAAAACATTTTATCTCCCCCCGGGTATGCGAACGAAAACCAACGTTTGCCAACGTACTCGAGATGCATGCAACGTAAGGCTAACGAACCCCTCGCGTTTGCCCGCGTATGGGCATTCTTTTGCCATAGGTTGGTGCTATACGCTAGGTATGACAGTGCCTTAAGAACGGGCAACCGTTAGAACCCACCAGCGCACTGCCTTTCATCAGCGCCGTCTCTGCAGTCGTCATCCCCGTCACACCTCCAAGTATTCGGGATACACTTGCCGTCGCCGCACTGAAAACTGCTGGCCGCACAGGTCGGCTCTTGATTCCAGAGAAATAGAAAAAATATCTTGGTGTAATTACGCCTCATTCTTCTATTAGAATAATTGAAGAAGGCCTTCAGACAAGGCTGGGTTAGTGTAACCAGAATATTTTTATTTGGCAATCTTGAAACGTTGAAAAATTACATCTGAACACAAATTTTGCACAAACTTAGGAAGCATTACACACCCTTTTCCTTTACAACGAATGTTTTAAGAACTGAAGAAAAGATATATCAGAATTAAGAAAAAAAGTTCACATACTTGTGCAATTAAATTCATCAGATTTGTCAGTGCAGTCATTGTCCCCATCACAGCGGTATGACATGGGGAAGCAGCGTCTGTCCGTCTGACACTGGAATTGGTTCGGGGCACAAGTACGGTTGCCATGGATACCTTAATATGGAACAGAATAACAACATGTGTAACTGAACTGAGCAACACACTGGATAGAAATGGAAGATAACCAACTTCGACAATTACCTGAAAAACATTTTTTATTAAAATTTTATGGTTTATATGTATTACTTGTCAATCTGAACACATCCAGTTATGTTTGCCCTCTTCAGCCCGGTTTTCACTGGCGGATACAGGATCTTCCTAATGAGAAAGGGGGGGGGGGCGCAAGGATGACATTTTTTGACTCGCCTCGCTCGGAAAATGGGGACAATTTTTGGTGGGTACCCCAGAATTTAAGGGTTCGACCCTGTGTCCACCCTGGATCCACCATCGATTACGACAGATCAATTACGAGTTTGTCCCACTGGTGGACTCTTATCTATAAAATACGCTTTCATAACAATACAACCCTACAAAGAATTTCCACGCTGTTGTGTACCTTTGCACGTTTGGGCTGTTTCATCTGAGCCGTCTCCGCAGTCGTCGTCACCGTCACAAGCCCAGGTCCTGGGAATACACTTCCGTATACTAGAGCAGGCAAACTGGTGGGAAAGGCAGCCATTCTGCAGGATACCTGAAATGCAGTATTTCACAACAACGTTTGTCCGCTGAAAACCAAATCTGCACGTGGCTTTTGTACTTGAATTTTTTCCTCATGGTGTTATGACCGAATTGTTTTAAATTACACACTGGCGTAGCTTATATATTTAATTTCAACGTGTGTGAAACGACAGGTGAAATGAGGTCTTTTACTTTGACAGCAAAACAAGAGATTATATTGCTATAAGATAAATCTAAAAGATCATAATTTTCGTTACTGCTGTCACAATTCTTCTCATCTGAGTTGTCACCGCAGTCGTCATCTCCGTCACAACGCAACGACCGAGAGATGCATTTTCCGGAGTTGTTGCACTTGAATTCGTAATACGGGCACTCGCCGGCGCTAGGGCCTGCAAAACGATGTCATCATTATTTTACACACTTATTATTATTATTATTACCTTTTTACAAAGCAAAAAAAAAAAAAAAAAAGATAATTTTTTTTCCTGACCAATGTATCACGAACATTTTAAATCAGACTTTGAGCGGAGTCACGTGTACCTAGCCAATATACATTTCTTTCAGATCAGACATGTAGATTGGACTCACGTTTACATTGGTCAAGAGTTTCATCTGACCAATCTCCACAGTCGTTGTCTCTGTCGCACAGAAACAGTTTGGACACGCAGGTCTTGTTATCAGCGCACTTAAACTCAAGCGGTGAACAGGTTCCCTCCACGGCTGTTCAAGGAAAATTATCATTATCATCTATTTAAGGAGCGAATTTTCTAAATCCCATTTCGACATTAGTTCTTGACATTTCAAATTCGTTGTTCAAGAAAAATCACCATAATCTATCTTTAAATAAAAAGATGTGAAAACTCCAATAATACATTTTTACTTTTTTTGCTTAAGATAAAAAGTTGGCCGTTGCTTCTTCAAAGTATAAAATATATCAAACCCAAACTTGATGTTCTTCAAATGTCCTATAATTTCTTTTTTGTATTTGTTTTGAACATGCTCAACAAGTTGCTTGGATTATATTTTCCCTTGCTTGTCCACTTACATTTCACTTCGATATTCAAGCAAACTTGCACAGCATGTTTCCTCCCACTCCACCCATGAAAACTCACTGTAGTTTTCTATGTTTACAATAATGTTTATTTTCTTACCAGTACAATTCACTTCATCTGACCCATCAGAGCAATCCTTGTCTCTGTCGCACACGTAACCAATGGGGACGCATTCCTTATTGGCACAGGTGAACTCAGAAGAGCGACAATATCCATTGAGGAGAACTAAAACAGACAATCAGATCATTCAACAAAATAGGTTTTTTGCTGTCTCTTGTGCAATGATTATAAGAAGTAAATCGTTTTTCAAGAAGTTCACATCGACGAGGCAGCAACCTGACCAAGGACCTTTGAAGAGGTGTTGAAACGTCACGAAACATTGGTAACTAGAAAAGCACTCCGAGAGCGCAGACCTCCGCCAAGGCAGCAAAATCTCCACCCAATGCCGTTTCACCCCTAAATTTTCATTCTATAATGATTCAGTTTTTGATTTTTGATTATTGATTGAAAATTGATCCGGATCACCACCAAAAATTAATCATCTGTTCCTTGCCCAACTTCTGACAGTTCCTGAAAATTTCATCAAAATCGGTCCATAACTTAGTTTTTTTATTATTGATTGATTGATTGTTGATCCGGATCACCACCAAAAACTAATCACTTCTAAGTTAACCCATTTCTGACCTACCCTGAAAATTCCATCGAAATTCATCCATAACTTTTTGAGTTATGTTGATGACAAACAGACAGACAGACAAACAGACAGACAGACAAACAAACAAACAAACAAACAGGGGTGAAAACATAACCTCCTTGGCGGAGGTAAAAATGTCTAGTCTCTTTACGATTTGTTTGCTTTCAACATGTATTGCAACATTCTTGTAAGAATGAACCAGCTCATCGCTTCGAGTAAACCGAGGAAAATTTTCAATTCAATTTCTTTTAGGCAACAATAAAAAAATTAATTATTGTAAACCACTTAACTCCATGTTTAAAACGAAAAGAGAGAGAGAGAGAGAGAGAGAGAGAACCTGTGCAGTTTTGTTCGTCTGACTTATCTCCACAGTCATCATCATTGTCACAAACCCATTCATTTAGAATACATTTCCCATTGCTGCAAGTGAACTGGCTGGATGGGCACGTCGGAGCTGGCGTGGCTGCAGAGTTAGAATATTCAATATTACATACATATTTTTGGTACGCGTCTGTATCAAGAAATTATATATTCTGAATTATAAAACAAAAAAAAATGTTATGTAAAACCTTTCGCTTAAATGAAGATGGGAGAATGTGCTTGCTAGGGATGATCGGTGTTAAGTCTAAAAGATTTATTTTAAAGAGGCATTTAATAAAATGTTTTATTCAGATTTTTCCTACCTTTCCCCCTCTTTATGCAACAAACCACTTATTTTCTTAAAAGTTAGGTACTTACTTGGACATCCTAGCTCGTCAGAATTATCAGCACAGTCCTTGTCGTTGTCACATTTATAAGCGCCAGGAATACATTTACCATCTCCGCACTGGAATTGGCCTGCCCTGCAGGTAGGTGTTGGTGTGGCTGGAATAACACAATTTACATGCTTTCTAGACCCCCACCTTTCGTGATTACAGGTTCTACACGTTTTATACATTTTTTCTCTGATTCCCATCGAAAAGTTCTCCTATTACCCCCTTCCCCCACCCCCATCTCAAGGAAAAACACATAAAACAAGAAAAAATGTTATGTAAAATATTTCGCTGAAATGAAGATGGGAGAGTGTGCTTGCTAGGGGAGATCGGTGTAAAGTCTAAAATATTTATTTTAAAGAGACATTTAATTAATTACATAAAATATTTTATTCAGATTTTTCCTACCCACCCCCCTCTTTATGCAACAAACCCTTTTTTTTGTACTTACTTGGGCATCCTAGCTCGTCGGAATTATCAGCACAATCCTTGTCGTTGTCACATTTAAACGCGCCAGATATGCATTTACCATCTGTGTTTATGAACTGCTCATTTCTATTCTCATGAAATGCCTTTCTTTGTATTTCTTTTCTAAGTGCGTTGATCTATTGAAAAAAATTTAATAAATATACATCTCCAGGAAGCAGGTCATTATTTGATACTTACTCGGGCATCCTAACTCGTCGGAATTATCATCACAGTCTTTGTCGTTGTCACATTTATAAAAGCCTGGGACACATTTGCCGTCACCGCACTGGAATTGGTCTGCTCTGCACGTTGGGGCTAGAAAGAGAGAGAGAGAGAGTGGTGTATAAAGCGAAAAAAGGATTATTGTACAATGGGAATGCACTGTTAAAATAAGACTACATAAGGCAATTTTGTTAATGCTGAGCGAACTTGTCACAAAGCGAATAACGTCGTAAGTTATAGTGTAGATAAAATGAGTGACACACGTGGGCAATCCGCCTCGTCAGAGCTGTCCCCGCAATCGTTGTCTCCGTCACAGCGGAAACCTACATCTATGCAGCGCTTGTTCTGACAGCGAAACTCGCCCTTGTCGCATGTGCGGTTACCATGAACATCTGAATGGTAAACAACAGGAAAATAGGAAAGGTATGGTTTATCAGCGTATGTTGCTTTTTTTTCTTTGATATATTATAAGAGAAGGCGAAACCTACCAATTATGATAATTAGTTAATGCCAAGTATACGTGAATCAGTCAAAACCAAAGGCTTGTCACAATACCCTAAGAATGAATAAATAATAATCAAACCTTTGTGCACTAAAACTATATGCAGTTCGATTGCGTTCACTCACTGATACAAACATCCGTGGTTTCATCCGAACCGTCCCGGCAATCGTTGTCTCCGTCACATAGATAGATGCTGGGGACACATTTTTTGTTAGCACAAGCAAACTGGTGGACGAGACAGCCATTTCCGAGAGTAACTGAAAGAGAAAAAAATGACTATGTAAAAAAATGTGGATCTGTAAGAATAACTTTAAATATATTATTATTATTATTATTATTATTATTATTATTATAAAATATTATAAATGATATCTATTTCTCTTTTTGTTGAAACTGAATAAAGTTTGAAGTGGAAGTATCAAAGGCTTTCATTGTTTGAAATATTCCTCACTTTCTTTTAGAAAGCATGCGCTTTTGCACAGTCTAGGAAGATATTTTGTCGATAGTATTTTTTCTTGAGGCAAAATTCCGTATACTGTCCCTTTCAGGGGATTTTAAATTTAAATCAACACCAACCTGTGCAGTTCTTTTCGTCCGAGTTGTCTCCGCAGTCGTCGTCCCCGTCACATATGTAAGTACGGGAAATACAACGGTCAGAGTTAGGACAGCGGATTTCCCACGAGCTACACGTGGTCCCAACCACTGAAAACAATTAGACAAAAATATCTTTGATCCAGTCAAAGGAATCCATCAAGAATAGATATGGAATTGGGGGAGCAAATGAGTTGAGTAGGCTAAGAATTTGTTTTACAAACATAAAAATAAGTTTTCGAAGAATTTCAAAGGCAGGAATGCCAAATGAAAAGAGGCTTATTGTCCAGGATTTAGAGACACATTTCACAATTAATATAGTTTTCGTATCTTGAAAAGATAGAGTTGAAACTTCAGAAAGTGAGGAACAAGTCACCTGTGCAGTTCTTTTCGTCAGACCCGTCTCCACAGTCGTCATCGCCGTCACACATCCAAGTCTTGCTAAGGCATTTCTTTTTATTGGCACACTGGAACTCGTACGGCGCACATGTGGTAACTTAAGGCAATAAAATATAATGAAAAAAGTAAGTAATCTATTCAAGGTGAATAAATGCATTTATGGAATGGCTGTCAGATACAATACCTATGTTTTCACATTTTACAAGATATTTCTTATTTCCCTTTACTTGATTGTATATTTAGTTATATAAACTACCGGGTGTGACTGATATTTTTTCGAAATGCTTGGTAGGAATATTTTTAAAAAATGTCCAGCTTTCTTTTTAGATAACATATAGTAACAACACCCCGCATTACTTTTTTTAGATATAGAGAATGTCCTAGAATAAGTCGTTGATTTTTTTAAGGTCAAAATCTCGTAAAATGTCTTTTTCAGCACCTGAATTTTAGAGGGAGCTCTGAATCTGAAGATGCTGAAAAGGAAAGATTTCAGGGGTTAACTATATTTACCGCCACAGTCCTCTTCGTCTGATCCATCGGTGCAGTCTTTGTCGCCGTCACACACGTGCCACTTGGCAGTGCACTCTTGCTTGTTGGCACACGTGAATTCATAGTAACTGCACGAGCCGTCTACAACTGCATGGCGGGAAAAACATTCACACTGTTTTATCTGGCAGTTTTAATTCTTAAATTCTGTTGATGTGTTATTTTTGTTTTGTTTTGTTTTGTTTTGCTTTTTTTGTTTACATAAGTTCAGCTTTACGAATAAACGGCTTTGCATTTTTTATGTGTTTTTGATTTCTTCGGTTTCTCTTTTCTTACTACTAAACATTTCTCTTAGTTACATTGCATTAGCAGCTTATGACTTTAACATTTTTGTAGCGATGAAAAAAAAAATAAAAGAATAAAAAACAAGAAGTAATTTGACAATCTAGAACAAACAGTTAAGACACTGTTACTTACTTCCACAGTTCTTTTCATCTGACGCATCTGGGCAGTCCGGGTCCTGGTCACACGCCCACATCGCGGCTATACACGTGACGTTATCTGCACAAGCAAACTGGTTACGTTCGCACTGGATAAATACTGGACCGTAAACGCAATAAAAGTGGAATAGATAAATATAAGCGTTTAGATTACTTTCTTTATTTGGGTGTGTTAAACAAACAGAAGCACATAAAAGTTGATTATGAATCTATGGAGAAGGACCCACAGGCCCGTAGCCTGCAATTTCAGAGGGGGGGTTCGTTTTCTGAAAAAGTGGACCTTTTGCCATAAAATTCTCAATTACATAGGTCAAATTTTACCCAGAGTGGACCTTTTCCCAGCAAAAAGGGTGGTTCTTTCGAACCCCCCGAATCCCCCCTGGCTACGGGCCTGACCCATTCACACACACGATGGGATGCCCACTGACGAATCCAGGTTTTTTTGCTACTGGGTGGGTGGCGGGCGACATTGGAAAAAAGTTGACGGGGAAATTTTGACTATATTGAATATATTGGGCATAGGGACGGAAATATTTCTTTATTTGGTCTCGATTCGTTCACACACACACACACACACACACACACACACACACACACACTGGACCCGCCACTGTGTTTTATGCTTTCTTCAAACCCGATTTCGTCAGACAGAGTTTCGAACTGAGATAGCCCCGTGTGTGAACAGATCCTAACAGGTAAACTGAGGCAATAAAACTAATGGAACTTCTACACTTTTTTTCGTATTTCTTTGCATGAGTCAAGGAGTTATAAACATATACATGCTTGGATTGAGTCAAGTTTTTATTATCAGGGAGGGCAGAACACCGACTGTGGTTTGAACGAATTCTTGAACTGTTGAGTCAATCTCACCGTCATCTTCTAGAGTGTCCACCCTCAGCGGCTTTCCTTCGCAAACTAAAAATGACATGACAATATTGTTATTATGCATGTCACATCACATTTGTTAGAATTTAAGTAAGAGATATGTCGTGGAATTATAGATGGGATAAAAAACTTAAATACTTTCTCCTGGGGCTTTTTGTGGTTCCAGCATACTTCCAGCATACTTTTTAAATGCGTGCGTTTTTTTTTTCTTATATATATTTTCATCTAAGCTAATAGAACGCTTACGTGCACTGATTTTACTTTATTATTAGAAAGACACAGTTACGATTTTATTGTTCAAAAAGCATGTCACTTGTCTTTTGGAGACCAGCATAGGCTAATTGGGTAGAAATTTTGACATTAAAATTTCCATTAACTGCTTGATTGCTCCGCGTGCACATTTGGAAAAATTCCAAAGATCATTTATCGATGCACTCAACCTGACAGCCAATGGATGTTTATTTACAGTGCATCAATGATTTGCCAACATTAATTTCGTTCTAGGGTCGACGAGTAAAATTACAACGACGACAACATCCAGTTAAATTTTCATAGAGAATATTTCCTTCTAGCAGTAGCCGTTAAAAACTCGCCTTGAAATTAGTAGCCCCGTAATTATCTAACTATTTATAAGCATAACTCTAGACTTACCTGCAAATGCCAAGAGCGGTATGAAAATTGCGGCAAACAACTTCATTTTCACCGAAAGGCTGCCTTGATCTAGCAGCTGACTGACCTACGTGTCTGTCTGTATTCATAGAGATGGGCATTAGCATCCTTCGTGCACCACCTGCCCGTTCTCAAACCTTCCCTTGACATAATCGCAATTACTTGACCGGAACAGAAGGAACCATGCTGATGTCACCCAATTTCGTGAAATTTGAATCTGGAAATATACGAGTTTCAAAGCTTCTTCCAACTTCAGCTGACCGTGGTGTTCACGAAAAGAAACAGCTCGCACACAGCACTGACAAAAAACCAGAAGCTTCTGAAAGGGCAAGCGGCTTGAAACGGTCCCATTTCCCTCTCTGGAAAATAGGAAGTTTGGCCTGTGCAAAATGATTTCAGCTGAAATGACACGCAGGATTCCCTTTCATTTTCGGCTCAAACCCCGTGTTATCATTCTCAATTACCCTGGAAGCATTTAAGCTATTTTGAGATGCTCGCTAATCTAAGAGATATTTACGATGTTGTATTCCCACCAGGTTATGTGTATCTATAATTTAGGAAGGGCGTAGAAGTGCTTTTCCGCTTGTATTCTTAATATCTGTGCGTTTTGTCAATATCCAGGTAATGCTCGTACCTTTTAAAAGGTTAGATTCATTGTAGTCAGGTAGGGTTAGGCCATCTCGGGCTCACCGTATTGCCAAGAATAGGCTGTTCGTCTTTGCTATTTTTTTTCTCAAATTTGACACTTTTCTTATATCTAAATAACAATAACCAGTTCGACTATTGTAGACTACTTTTAGTCTGTATATGTTTTTTTTTTCGGTTTTATGGCGTATTTAGGTAGGTCTACATGCTACAGGATCAGCTAGACCAAAACTTGGTACTCATGCATAATGTTGATTAACGAAAAAAAAAAAAAAATCCACACGATGGAAATAAATTGAATTAAAATTTCAGACAGTTAGTCTGATATTTATAGATTTATTCTTTTTACGATTTTATAGTGTCTTTTGAAAACTTTGATATCTATGATTTTGATACACGAATAGAAGTAAAATGTTTGAAACTAATCCAATTAACACTACCGTCATAAACAATATGGTAATTCATTATTGTAATTTTAGTTATATGGTTATATTATGTATAATGTTATGTCATAGTCATTGTAAAAAATGTACTAGAACCGCAATAAATAATAAAAATATATATAATATGACAGACCTTTAATGTGTCTGTCGAAAACTTCACGTAGTAAACACAAGAATCACCTCAACTCAGAGCCTTGATATAGTGGCAGTGTAAATTTAATAAAATTTGATATTTTTAAGTAGCTTGATAAGTTCTTCAAGAGGCAGTATCGGCCTGGAAGAAAAGAGTGGTCGTGTGAGTAGCCCTAAGCACGGGACTGTCCTTTCTTGACTTGTGTGCCCCCTATAGCTGTGAGAAGCCGCCGAGAAGATGAAAAATTGAGAGTACAACAATATTGATTACAATTTAGGGGGTCCATGTACTCAGATACAGACATCAGTACAATGGATTTTGAAATAGAAGAAGATAAGATGTAAGTTTTGTTATATCTGCTTGATATTTTATAAGAAAACACCTAGAAAGTGATTGACGCAATTGTGACGCTGATCTGTATCCGACCATATATCAGTTATCATAACATTACATGTTGAGCTCTGTTCATCGACATAATCATCTTTTTGATCATGTAAAGCAAACAGAAATAGAAGTGCATTAGTAACAGTATCATTCTGAAGTCAGATATTGCATTTTATTACTTCTGTGTCTTTACTATTTGCACTAAATCATGTACTGTAAATGAGCCACTTTCACGTAGCTGGAAATGTTATTAATCTGTACTAGTATTATAATTTACGGCCTTTAAATTGACCTACAGGCTAGGGTATAGGGTCATACTGTAATACACAATACAGTGCATTACACTAAAAAAGAAACAAACTCCTCACTGGATGCGAGTAAACACAGGAAAGCGCTCATTTCCAAGAAAATGGGGTGATATAAAAGCAAAATTAAATACTTAATGATTAAAATTGTTGATCCAACTTGACATGTCAGTGCGATCTGCTTATATAAATGAATTGTTGGGTTGTCTGCTATATTGATCACTCAAGAAGATGTGGCTCTTCTTTGCAATATGGTGGACAAATCTTACCAATTTATAAAGTTGGACCATTATCAGTACCTACATGTAGTAATATATTTTGCTTCTAAATTACCCTATTTTCTTGAGATTGAAGGTTTCCTATGTTTACTCGTGTCTGGCATCATATCTATAGTGTATTGTGTTGTGTTGCACTGTTACACTTTTTAGGTAGACTGAAATAAATTGCTAGGTAATTGATATTAATGACATAATTTGACAAATCGTCATGATTTGTTGATCAATTATGGGGTCCTCTGCCATATTAGAAACTCAAGAAGAGCCTGTAGAAACTATGCTACTATTTTAAATGATAATAATATGGTTGATTGATAAGCATATTATATAGCATATTACATTTAATCCATGGTGTATTTTAGGTGTTCACTGTGTATAGTAAATAGTTTAACCATACCTCTTAGTTTCATCATACTATTAGCCTTAGGTGGAATTCTCTGCTTTAATTGATCATTCCTATTTAGGATTTATACATTCATTGCTGTGCTTGAGAAAAAAAGTGTGAGTTAGAGCAGAAACAGGATTTACTTTGTTATGTAATATGTCATCAAATTAAAGTGTTTTCAAATGATTTCTCTGAAATTCTCAAGTGTTTTGGTCTATGAGTGAATGGATATTGAAATAATGCTTTAAAGCTTAAAGAAGGTTTTCTATGCCGATTGGTTGTGCATGCATAATTTACACCCCATTTCCATAGATTTTTAGATCGATCTATCCCTGTGGGGAGTCTCACTAGATTACTGTCAGCTTGGCAGGCTTAAGCGTCTGTCCCGCCTACTAAAAGCTGTAAGGGGATAATTAACTATGGTGCCCGCTCGGCTGACTGCAATTTAGCGTGAACCCCCAGGGAGTTAGGTCGATCTAAAACTTTAATCTTTAGATCGATCTAAATCTCTGGGAAAGCACCCTTAGTGAATCAGCAACAAATACCCCAGTAAGTCTGAACCGGATATCCGCGCTACAGGTGATCTCAAAGACACTGAAGAATCTAGAACAAAATCGGTTTTAAGTGGTTACTGAGCAGCACTCAGTTATGTGGGGTCGATGACCCACTGTGGATTTAACTGATTATATCGGTAGTGCACGTGCATCTAGTTGGCTTGGATAAACTTGACTGTTTCATCTTGACTCATCAGATAATCTGGGTACATCAAAATACTTTCTAGGTTTTCTAGGCCAACCACCCGTCCTGATAAATCAAGCTGTCATATCTTCAAAATTTCATTATAAAGCTGTTTGCCTGTCATAGAAAATATTGGCCATTTTCTGAGTAAACTGACCGTGCAAATGATGGCTGGCGCAGATGGACAGCTCTCATAGGATCCTTGCTCTCAAGCACAACAGGGAATATGTAAAGTGTAAAATGGGAATGACAGAGAAATAAAATACAATATCTTGATTGATAGTAAACAGTATATAAACAGTATGAGATCAGTCCACACTTTATTTGCTCATTCTCTTGCAGAGGCATAAGATATAGAAAACATTAAAAGGCTTTAGTCCTTGACTATGCTTACTCTTGCCAGTGTGACCTCTTTCTAGTATCTTTTTTTTAAGTATGGCAAATTGCCACTTGTATCATTGATGGATATTATCAAAGCTTCTATTTTATTTTTGTATTTCACCAAAACAAAATAGAAACAATAAAGCGTTCTTAACGCTACCGTTTGAAAAGGATAAAGCTTATCAATTCATATTTATTATGCAAAAGAAAAAGAAAACAAAGTCTTTGCATATAAATAGAGTTAATGTATTGAAAATGCATGGCACACCCAGTAATACAAGTTATCTTGTATTCTTACAGCTGCTGTTTGTGCTACTGACATTTACTATTCAGTCATATCACACTGCAATATTTTTAAAGAATATAAAAAACCAAGGTTATACTTATTGCATGAAATAATAATCTGCTGTGAATTGATACAATTTGGGTTGGTTTACTCTCTCTCCCTTCCTGCATTTTTATGTGCTGCTTAAAGGTACATATGAACCGAGCATCGGTAGAGCATGGATTCCCAGTAACATATATAAACCACTTCTACTAGTTCCTTATACGACTCAAATAAATTTGAAATGCCAATGGATAAACTGAATAAAACACTCAATCAGCCATAAAAAAGCTTTAGACTGCTCTTTTCTTTAAATTTTTGGTCATAAATTTAACCTATTTTAATGACCTATTTTTCTGCCCCATTGATAAACAACATAGAATGCTAGCAGAAATATCTGTTCAAATTACTTTTTTGGGTAAAATTAAACGATGCCTTTTGGTAATTCTCTTAGTTATACCACTTGAAACTGTATGCTGGCTTTTGGTTGGCTTTTGTGGCAAAAAACGGACTTTATATGCATCTTTAATTACAGTCTGTTCTGGTCAAGAAAGTGTGCTTGTTATTGCCCTGAAGTAAAGATTTCATATATACTAGATGGTTGAGGTGTGAGTGAATTTCTCTTTAAGGTCTCATTCCCAATGAAACTATTGTACATTAATTCAACTCTGCAGGGATTCTCTCAGAATGCAGTCAGATTAATAGATTAACAGAATTAACATAAAATGAGTGAAACAATTGTTGCATGTACAGTAGATATATATTTAACACATCTTTTTGGAAAAAAAACTTAAATGTATAAAACTTGCATTTTCTATTGTCATTTTTGACATTTGAACATACTAGTAGATCAATATGACAATTGCTGGCATTATGCAGGTTATTTATGAGCATTGTGACTGATTGGTAAATTATACGTAATGTATTTCTATCACTGATACTGGTAACTGGGTAATAACATTGGGACATGGTACTGGGTAACCACAATGGGACATAGGCATCAAAATTGTAACATGGGGCCGATCTTGTGTGCATCGTATTTTGGAAAATGTAACATTAAACGAATATAAAAATGATCAGGGAAGAGTACACTTAACTTCACAGAGTTGGGAAAACACGCTGCTATCCTGAATCAGTGGTTAAACAGCGATGACATGAAATCATCTCTCGTGCGTTACACACCGAAAGGTGTGGTTCCCATACTTAGATCGATCCATCTGGATCGACCTAACTCCCCGGGGGTTCCCGCTAATTCGCTATCAGCTCAAGAGGCTTAAATGTCTAGCATGCCTACCAAATCAGCTAGGGGTAAAGATAATGACCCCCTAACAGTTTTACTAGGCGTGACAGACATTTAAGCTGGTTAGTTTGATAGCAATTTAGTGAGACTCTCCAGTGAGATAGATTGATCCAAATATCTGTGAGAATGGTCCCTTAAGTTCATGTGACTAGGTCATTGGAAATTTCTACTATGTATGCTAGGTCCCTGGGCCAAATCTGAATGGGGAAATGAAACTAAAGCTACGTAACTGTGGTTTCACTGTCATGCATGTCTGAAGGAATCAAAACAGGATTGGGTCATAACATCTGTGATTACATGCTCAGATGACAGGATTTCCTTACACCATGTTGTTTTATGAAATGCAGAGTGTATTTCAGGTATTTAAATTCCAAAATAAGATGATTTGTATAGTTCACCTGTATGGGAGATCGTACTTTGTACTGAAGTTGAAAACAGAAATGATGGTAAGGCACAATAACCCATTTCTTCACCCATCAAAATTTGCAACAAAGAGCATTTTTATCTAGTTTGTGTGCTGTAAGTGATCCCTGAGGTGACAAAAAAAAAAAAAAAAAAAACTTGACAATACTATTCTGAGAGCTTTCTTTTCCATAATGTACAGCTGCAAAACAGACTGGTATGTCTGTGTCCCAGATTTAAGCACTGTTTGTTAAAATACACAGCAATGTTTGGAAACAGAAAATTGTTTTTTTTTATAATGAGACAAATCCATCCCCTTTCACATGAAAGCACCCCTGTTGTAATCCAACACATAGGAATATTGTGACAGACTTTCAAAGATGATAACCCATTGCTGTTACCCAGTACTGTGGACATGCACGTATAGTAGATTTTAAACAATGCGGCAGGAGCAATATGTATACTAGTATATTTATATTAAGATATATGCACTGTATAATGCTGGTTAGCATTTATAATTTAGTTTGTGGAAACAGCTGTTACATTGAACTGAAAGCAGTGGTAAGCACAGCAGGCGCTGAATAAGCAAAGTGACATAGAAAGCCTGATGTCAAGTTTGCTTCACATTTCATACTGCAGAAATAGGTCTACATTTGTATTAGCCTTGTTTTACCGAAAAAGTCAATGTTTGATTTCCATTCATATTTTATCCAGAGGAAAATAGGTTAAACTAGATCTGGGTTATTGACTCTCATATGGCAAAGGATTGCCAGTACCATTTAGTGTCCACAATGGATGACGATGACGACTACTGGTCTGACAAAAACAAGCACAGGGCTCTTCCTTGGGAGGACACCTGGTAGGCTATATGATAATACTGGATGTGGGCTTCTATAATATATACGGATCACCCAAATTTCTTGGCTTGGGACTCTTGCTTTTATGATCTTTCAGCATGAGAACTAACTTTTATATGCCAACTTAATTGCTGTTGGGCGTTGTTCAACAGATTTGCGCCATCTGATCAAAGGGTTTCAAAGTAGTAGATCAATTGCCTTACCTCATGCAGTGCCTAGTTTTGAAGAATTACTGCCAAGTTGATCATTTTTAATTTTCTTGATATGATTGAATCGGATGTAATTGAGTCATTTAAAACATTTTTTGGCATGAAATAAAATCTGAGCCTTGTGAGGTTCCTTTTGAGGTTCTTAAAAATTATTTTAAAACTTTTTATTTATTTTAATTATTTTATTTTAAAATGTTCATTCAAATTACTTAGAATAATTTGGTTACTTACATTTCACTTATTATTGAAAAATAACTGTGTTGGACGTATTTAAACTGTTCAAAATTCCAAACATTTATTTTGAGTTAAATTTGGGTTTTGGTACTCATTTTGTCAATTTGATATAATTTCCTTCAAAACTTTACTATGTTGTATTAAGTTTTATTTGTTCTATCTTTCTTCCTCTATCTCACCCTCTGCAAAATGATCCAATTCAACTTGCTAATTATGTTAGCATATCACACCTCTATGCCTGGCACTTTAACTTACTCCTCTTACAGGTGCATGTCATTAGACTATGAACAACAAAATTTTCAGAGCGTGGCATTTTGATTGTTCTTGATACTGTAAAGATAAGACCCCCCTACCTACATTGTTGAACTTCATTTACTTTGTGAGACGACCTTGGTGTTAAGTTCCCGACTTGATGCCTATATATAACATCATTTCATGACTGTCTGAATACAGTAAGCTTTCACTAGGGGTGCACTAGTTCTAGGGAAAGATGGATGAGGATCTTAAGTGGCCGGGAGAGGAAAATGATGATGTTCCTGTTGCTGAAAACTTTAACTCACAACTGCCACATATGGATGTTCCTTTCAGGGGGATGACCGTGACCTCGGGGACAGCCACCCTGAAGAAGGACGCCCAGAACCTCATAGGTATCAGCATAGGAGGTGGGGCCCCGGTCTGCCCCTGCCTGTATGTGGTCCAGATATTTGACAACACCCCAGCGGCCAAGGACGGCACCCTGGCTTCTGGGGATGAAATTGTGGGGGTCAATGGACAGTCTGTGAAGGGAAGGACCAAAGTGGAGGTGGCAAGAATGATACAGAGCATTCAGGTACATGTGGTACTATTCTGATTTGAACCACTTTATGTATAGGATGGAGGTGACTGGTTTGTCTGTTGATGAGTGTCTGCATGTGCGTGAGCTTATGTGTGCATGCATATGTGTGTACTAGTATGTATGGACTGCATATTGTTGAGTACATTTGGTAGCTGGGCATGAATAACTTGCAATTTTATATTATGAGTTTGTTTTGGTAATTTTGAAAGATCTCGGGCCTCTTGGAAAAGTGGTGGTTTATTATATTTACTTATATAATATTCAATCAGAAAAATGTAATTCTCGCATATCATTAACATAATAGTATTTATTTCCATCAGGAGGAGGTCACAATCAGTTACAATAAATTACATGCTGATCCTAAACAGGGGAAGACCTTAGACATAGGTAATTATTGTGTGCCTACATTTGTGACTTAATACAAACTTATGTGAAATAAAGAACAAGTCTTGTTTCTGTACACATTTGATATATAAGGATAATTATTTGGGTCAAAGTCAAGGTTATTATTGTTGGTTGCATCTGTGACTTGATACGTATGAAATAAAAAACGGGTCTTGTTTCTGTACACATATTATATATATCAGGGTAATTATTTGGGTCAAAATTAACTTAGCTGTTTTAATTGAAGCTTAGTGTCTAATTTGATTGATTGGTGGATAATTAAGCATTTCAATACTTTTTTGAAAAAAAAAAAACTGATTGGAGCTTGCAAATAAGGTCTTTAATTTTTTATCTTTAATTTATTTTCTTGTTGTAAAATATGTCATGAAGAATAATGAATGGCTGAGATAAATAATAATTTTCTTTCTTATCCATGTGTAGTGTTGAAGAAGGTGAAGCACAAAGTTGTGGAAAGCATGAGCTCCAGCACAGCTGATGCACTGGGACTAAGCAGAGCCATCCTCTGCAATGGTAGGGTAATAAGTAAAATTTTCCAACCCCCTCACTTATTCCACAGTTTATTTCACATCCAGCAGTATAGTTATCTAGACTCCCTCACTTTAATAGGCCTAGGCTTACATGTAACTGTGCTACAAGGGATTTTCCCCATTTCTCCTCAAGTTTGCTTTTTCTGTTTTGTTAAATTAATTATGCATAGCCGTGTCAATGGCAGGGTTCTGTTAAGGTGACTCTTCTACAAAATAATAGCTGGTCTATTAAGTTTTCAAGCATTCAAAGGGGACCGGTCAGGTGAGGTAGAACCACTTTCAACAGAACATGCCAATTAGTAAAAAGGAAAAATTGTGCTACTGAAACAAAAAGACAAGTTTGAGGTTTAGAAATGACACTATACCATTTTGTATACATGTACAGTACATAATTACGGAGTCTTGATGAATTTGTGAATAACTGTAAATGGTTTTGCACTGTGTTTCTGTTGAATTGGGAGTTTTTTTTTGTTGTTTTTTTTGTCAAGTTTTTATAACCTTCATACGTATTTCTTGTTTTCAGATGGTTTAGTGAAGAAGCTTGAAGAGTTAGAGAGAACAGCCGGGATGTACAAAGGAATGATGGAACACACAAAAAAGTTACTCCGAGCTTTTTTTAACCTGGCTCAAACTCACAAAGGTAAGAAATATTGAGAAATGAATTGTCTGGAAAAAAGAAATATTATTTACCATCTTTTAAATAGCTGACACAAACTCACAATCGTTAGAGGTAAATAGCATATTAAATCAGTGATATTGTTAAGAAAGTAAAGGTAACAAAAGGGTTTATGGATAAAGACTGAATTATAGAGTTTGAAGATATATGCCTCAAACTTTCTCCCTTGTAAAAAATTATGTAACAGTTTAGGCATGGAGGTTTAAGCTTTGTATGGAATGGTTTACCCTATTTTGGAGACTGCATGTAATAGTTACTCAAACATCAGAAGAATGTTTTTGAAAACAATTTGATTGCTGTATTGTGATTTATTTCCAGCTTTTGGAGAAACATTTGCAGGCATTGGCGTCAGAGAACCCCAGCCTAATGCTAGTGAAGCATTTTCTAAGTTTGGAGAAGCCCACAGGGATATAGAAAAATATGCCATTAAAATGTTAAGAACAGTGAAGCCGGTATGTTTTTCATAGTAAATGTTTTTTTTATTTAACTTGAATATTTCATAACTTTGTTTGAAAAAAAAACAAAAAACAAACAACAGTCTTTGTTTTATTATTGATGATTTATGCAGACAAGCTGCTTTTCTTGAATTCTGAATACAGTTACCAGAATGGGAAATTTTTGTTTCTTTTGTAGATGGTAGCAGATCTGAATACGTATTTGAACAAAGCAGTACCAGACACCAGGTTGACTTTAAAGAAATACCTAGATGCAAAGTTTGAGTATTTGGTAAGACTTCTAATACATTTTATCACATGGATATAAAGCACTTAAATAATTTGATGGTTAGCGATATATGCAGAAAGAATAATGTTAAGAAGTGAAGTGTTCAATTAACTTATAATCTGACTTGTGTAATTTCTACATTTATTCTTGTAGTTGGCATTTTGATTTAGATATTAATGAACTTTTCTGGCACAGAAAATAAGAATGGCAGGCATTTATTTATGATTTGTGCTGTATTTCAGTCATACTGCTTGAAAGTCAAAGAGATGGATGATGAGGAATATGCCTATAATGCCCTGGGTGAACCTCTGTACAGAGTGGAGACAGGGAATTATGAATACAGGTAACCATAAAGCTGAAAAGATCAATAATAATAANCGGTTTTTCTTTCATGTACGTCCGCCATTTTTAGGTCACCGGCTTTGTAAAGCCTGGCTTAATTCGTTGAGAATGCGCTCTTAGATCGATCCATCTGGATCGACCTAACTCCCCGGGGGTTCCCGCTAAATCGCTATCAGCTCAAGAGGCTTAAATGTCTAGCATGCCTACCGAATCAGCTAGGGGTAAAGATAATGACCCCCTAACAGTTTTACTAGGCGTGACAGACATTTAAGCTGGTTAGTTTGATAGCAATTTAGTGAGACTCGAGGGAGATAGATTGATCCAAATATCTGTGAGAATGGTCCCTTAAGTTCATGTGACTAGGTCATTGGAAATTTGTACTATGTATGCTAGGTTCCTGGGCCAAATCTGAATGGGGAAATGAAACTACAAGGTAACTGTGGTTTCACTGTCATGCATGTCTAAAGGAATCAAAACAGGATTGGGTCATAACATCTGTGATTACACGCTCAGATGACAGGATTTCCTTACACCATGTTGTTTTATGAAATGCAGAGTGTATTTCAGGTATTTAAATTCCGAAATAAGATGATTTGTATAGTTCATGTGTTTGGGAGATCGTACCTTGTACTGATGTTGAAAACAGAAATGATGGTAAGGCACAATAACCCATTTCTTCACCCATCAAAATTTGCAACAAAGAGCATTTTTTTATCTAGTTTGTGTGCTGTAAGTGATCCCTGAGGTGACCAAAAAAAAAAAACAAACTTGACAGTACTTTTCTGAGAGCTTTCTTTTCCATACTAGTAATGTACAGCTGCAAAACAGACTGGAATGTCTGTGTCCCAGATTTAAGCATCGTTTGTTAAAATACACAGCAATGTTTGGAAACAGAAAATTGTTGGTTATAATGAGACAAATCCATCCCCTTTCATATACTTGTATAATAATCCAACACATAGGAATATTTTGACAGAGTTTCAAAGACGATAACCCATTGCTGTTACCCAGTACTGTGGACATGCACGTATAGAAGATTTTAAACTGCGGCAGGAGCAATATATATATATATTTATATTAAGATATATGCACTGTATAATGCTGGTTAGCATTTATAATTTAGTTTGTAGAAACAGCCGTTACATTGAACTGAATGCAGTGGTAAGCACAGCAGGCGCTGAATAAGCAAAGTGACATAGAAAACCTGATGTCAAGTTTGCTTCACATTTCATACTGCAGAAATAGGTCTACATTTGTATTAGCCTTGTTCTACCGAAAAGTCAATGTTTGATTTCCATTCATATTTTATCCAGAGGAAAATAGGTTAAACTAGATCTGGGTTATTGACTGTCATATGGCAAAGGATTGCCAGTACCATTTAGTGTCCACAATGGATGACGATGACGACTACTGGTCTGACAAAAACAAGCACAGGGCTCTTCCTTGGGAGGACACCTGGTAGGCTATATGATAATACTGGATGTGGGCTTCTATAATATATACAGATCACCCAAATTTCTTGGCTTGGGACTCTTGCTTTTATGATCTTTCAGCATGAGAACTAACTTTTATATGCCAACTTAATTGGTGTTGGGCGTTGTTTAACAGATTTGTGACTTCTGATCAAAGGGAGTTAGGGTTTCTAAGAAGTAGATCAATTGCCTTACTTGATGCAGTGACCTGATCAATTTGGATTTTCTTAATATGATTGAATCAGATGTAATCCAGTCATTCAAAACTTATTTCAGCATTGACTAAAATTTGAGCCTTGTGTGAATCACAAATGTGGCTCTTAAATATGATTTTTAACATTTATTTTTTAAAAATTATTTTTATTTTTAAATGTTCAATCCAATTATTTGGATTATTTTGTTGCTTTCCTTTCACTTTGAAAATGTTAACTTCCATTTCTAGCTTTGCACAAGAAAACATTTGTTTTTCAATAAGTTTTCTTGTGCAAAGCTAGAAATGGAAGTTAACATTTTCAAAGTGAAAGGAAAGCAACAAAATAATCCAAATTTAAAACTGTTCAAAATTCCAAACATTTGATTTGAGTTAAATTTGGGGTTTAGTACTCATATTGTCAATTTGATATAATTTCCTTAAAACTTGAACTATGTTATTAAGTTTTCTTTATGTTCTATCTTTCTCCATCTACCTTACTCTCTTTCTTGCAAAATGATCCAATTCAACTTACTAATTATGTTGGCATATCACTCCACTATCACCTCAACATACCTCTTACAGGTGCATGTCATTAGACTATGAACAACAAAATTTTCAGAGCGTGACATTTTGATTGTTCTTGATACTGTAAAGATAAGACCCCCCTACCTGACACTGTTGAACTTCATTTACTTTGTGAGACGACCTTGGTGTTAAGTTTCCTCTTGATGCCTATATATATATATAACACCATTTCATGACTATCTGAATACAGTAAGCTTTCACTAGGGGTGCACTAGTTCTAGGGAAAGATGGATGAGGATCTTAAGTGGCCGGGAGAGGAAAATGATGAAGATGTTCCTGTTGCTGAAAACTTAAACTCACAACTGCCACATATGGATGTTCCTTTCAGGGGGATGACCGTGACCTCGGGGACAGCCACCCTGAAGAAGGACGCCCAGAACCTGATAGGTATCAGCATAGGAGGTGGGGCCCCTGTCTGCCCCTGCCTGTATGTGGTCCAGATATTTGACAACACCCCAGCAGCCAAGGACGGCACCCTGGCCTCTGGGGATGAGATTGTAGGGGTCAATGGACAGTCCGTGAAGGGAAGGACCAAAGTGGAGGTGGCAAGAATGATACAGAGCATTCAGGTAAATGTGGTACTATTCGGATTTGAACCATTATATGTATAGGATGGAGGTGACTGGTTTGTCTGTTGATGAGTGTCTGCATGTGCGTGAGCTTATGTGTGCATGCATATGTGTGTATGTATGCTATGGACTGCATATTGTTGAGTACATTTGGTAGCTGGGCATGAAAAACTTGCAATTTTATATTATGAGTTTGTTTTGGTAATTTTGAAAGATCTCGGGCCTCCTGGAAAAGTGGTGGTTTATTATATTTACTTATATAATATTCAATCAGAAAAATGTAATTCTCCCATATCATTAACATGATAGTATTTATTTCCATCAGGAGGAGGTCACAATCAGTTACAATAAATTACATGCTGATCCTAAACAGGGGAAGACCTTAGATATAGGTAATTATTGTGTGCCTACATTTGTGACTTAATAGAAAATTATGTGAAATAAAGAAAAAGTCTTGTTTCTGTACACATTTGATATATAAGGGTTATTATTTGGGTCAAAGTCAAGGTTATTATTATTGGTTGCATCTGTGACTTGATGCATATGAAATAAAAAACAGGTCTTGTTTCTGTACACATATTATATATCAGGGTAATTATTTGGGTCAAAATCAACTTAGCTGTTTTAATTGAAGCTTAGTGTCTAATTTGATTGATTGATTGATGGATAATTAAGCATTTCAATACTATTTTGGAAAAAAAACTGATTGGAGCTTGCAAATAAGGTCTTTAGTTTTTTTTTTATCTTTAATTTATTTTCTTGTTGTAAAATATGGCATGAAGAATAATGAATGGCAGAGATTAATAATCTTTCTTATCCATGTGTAGTGTTGAAGAAGGTGAAGCACAAGGTTGTGGAAAGCATGAGCTCCAGCACAGCTGATGCACTGGGACTAAGCAGAGCCATCCTCTGCAATGGTATGGTGATTAGTTAAAATTTTCCAACATCTGACTTATTCCACAATTTATTTCACATCCATCAGTATACTTATAATATCTAGACTCCCTCACTTTAATAGGCCCTAACATGTACCTCTGCTACAAGGGATTTTCCCCCTTAGATAATTTCTCCACAAGTTTGCTTTTTCTGTTTTGTTAAGTTAATTATGTATAGCCGTGTCAAGCGCAGGGTTCTGTTTAGGTGATTCTTCTACAAAATAAAAGCTGGGCTATTAGGTTTTCAAGCATTCATAGGGGATCGGTCAAGTGAGGTATACAGCTTGATGTGAAAAGGGCCTCTTAGACCGCATTTCCAGAGATTAGATCGATCTACTTTAGATCGACCTAACTCCCTGGGGGTTCACACTAAATAGCTGTCAGCCGAGCGGACATGAAAGTTAATTACCCCCTTACAGCTTGTATTAGGCGGGACGGACATTTAAGCTGGATTATCTGACAGTAATCTAGTGAGACTCCCCGCAGGGATAGATCAATCCAAAAGCTCTGGGAATACAGCCTTAGTGGGAGAGCCACTTTCAACAGAACAGTCCAATTAGTAAAAAGGGAAAATTGTGCTACTGAAACAAAAAGTGTTTGAGGTTTAGAAATGACACCATACCATTTTGTGTACATGTACAGTACGTAATTACAGAGTCTTGATTTAGTGAAAATCTGAATGGTTTCGCACTGTGTTTCTGTTGCATTGGGAGTTTTTTTGTCAAGTTTTTATAGCCTTCATATGTATTTCTTGTTTTCAGATGGTCTGGTGAAGAAGCTTGAAGAGTTAGAGAGAACAGCAGGGATGTACAAAGGAATGATGGAACACACAAAGAAGTTACTCCGAGCCTTTTTTAACCTGGCTCAAACTCACAAAGGTAAGAAATATTGAGATATGAATTGTCAGGAAAAAAAGAGACATTTTTTAATCGCCTTTTAGATAGCTGACACCAACTCACGATGGTATATACTTAGAGGCAAATAATATAAAAAAATTAATGATATTGTTAAGAAAGTAAAGGTAACAATGGATTTTATGGATAAAGACTTTGAATTATGGATATTGAAGATATATGCCTTGAACTTTCTCCATTGTTACAAATTATTTAACAGTTTAAGCATGCAGTTTTATGCTTTTTGTGGAATGTTTTACTCTCTTTTGGAGACTGCATGTAATAGTTACTCAAACATCAGAAGAATGTTTTTGAAAACAATTTGATTGCTGTATTGTGATTTATTTCCAGCTTTTGGAGAAACATTTGCAGGCATCGGCGTCAGAGAACCCCAGCCTAATGCTAGTGAAGCATTTTCTAAGTTTGGAGAAGCCCACAGGGATATAGAAAAATATGCCATTAAAATGTTAAGAACAGTGAAGCCGGTATGTTTTTCATAGTAAATGTTTTTTTTTATTTAACTTGAATATTTCACAACTTTGTTTGAAAAAAAAACAACAAACAACAGTCTTTGTTTTATTATTGATGATTTATGCAGACAAGCTGCTTTTCTTGAATTTTGAATACAGTTACCAGAATGGGAAATTTTTGTTTCTTTTGTAGATGGTAGCAGATCTGAATACGTATTTGAACAAAGCAGTACCAGACACCAGGTTGACTTTAAAGAAATACCTAGATGCAAAGTTTGAGTATTTGGTAAGACTTAAAAGTATTTTTTGAAATGGATATAAATCATTTTAATAACTTGATGGTTAGCAACAAATGCAGAAGGAATAATTTATGAAGTGAGGTGTTTAATTAATTTATAATCTGACTAGTGTAATTTCTACATTTATTCTATAGTTGGCATTTTGATTTATATGTTAATGAACTTTTCTGGCACAGAAAATAAAAATGGCAGGCATTTATTCATGATTTAAGTTGTATTTCAGTCATACTGCTTGAAAGTCAAAGAGATGGATGATGAGGAATATGCCTATAATGCCCTGGGTGAACCTCTGTACAGAGTGGAGACAGGGAATTATGAATACAGGTAACCATAAAGCTGAAAAGATCAAGTCTGTCAGTGTCTTTCCTTCGTGATAAAGTGACCCTATTCAGAAGCTCTATTAATACAAACCTGCCTTTTGTTTCTCAGTGTTATGAGATAATGTACTTTTCTTGTGTAAATATTTCATATTACACTGACGGAGTCGTGTATGAAAGTATTGTTTATAATATCAGGTTAATCCTGCGCTGCAGACAGGAGGCTAGGGCCAGGTTTGCCAAAATGAGGTCAGATGTGCTGGTCAAGATAGAGCTGCTGGATCAGAAACATGGTGAGGGGTGTGGACTTTATTATGGTGAAATTTTTATGAGATATAATGTGTAATCTAATGGCAGCATCACAAAAAACTGTAAAATGTTACTTATCTATTTCTTGGTATTTGAACATAAGTTACTAACATTTAAGGCTGTAAATTGTCTTATAGGTCATGATTATAGGGTTTTTTTTGGAACTTCTTGTGACTTACCAGAAAATACTACTTTTATTGCAGTTCAAGACATAGTCTTTCAGCTCCAACGTTTAGTCACAGCCATGTCCAAGTATCACAATGACTGTCAAGTTGTGTTAAAAGAAGCAGATGTGTTCCCAATAGAAGTGGACTTGGCCAGAAGCACTTTCACATATGACACTAGTAACCAGTTTAATGACAATGAGGAGGATGAAGAGGAGGAAGAAGAAGGCACAGATACAGCTAGAAATCAAACAGGAGCTTTCAGTGGAGATCTCATCAGTACTGATTAGATAGGGTCTTCTTGAAAAGATGTAGATGTACAGGATAAAAGTTGGTTTTCTATTTTTCTTTGTTTTCATAGTATTCCCAGAGCTTTATTTCATTTAATGCATTTATGTCAGAAGTGGCATTTGATCAGTTTTGACTGAACTTCAATTACTGAATCTTTTAACTAAAGTTTTGTTTAGAAAGATAACTATGTTATTGAATATTAAAGCTACGGGTTGTTATGAACTTCTTGTAATGTCTTTATTTTCTATTTTTTTCTGTTTTATGAAGTCATAGACTAAGATGTCTTTGTGTTTTGTTTTTCAAAAGACATAAGGTGAAGGTATTTTTTTCATTCTTAGCCTTGTTAAGACTGTAACTCATTCCATTGTTTGCTAAACAACATCTAAGATTATAGAAGCTGGTAGCCACATCATAACATTGGCATTCCTGATTGAAGCATATTTCTCC